GGGGCCCACAGGGGCTGGACTCGTGACTGGGAAACCCTCCTTTATTAAGCACTGAGGTGGCGTGGCTGTGCCTATGCTCCCCTTCGTTGCTTTTTAAAATTTAAGCGAATGAGGAAGAAGTAGTTTTGCACTTCATTACGTTGTTTGGAAGGGAAAGGCTCACCCGCTTCCAGCTGTGACCAACCAGCACTTCCAAGGATAAAAGACACATGAGAAACTTCCAGGCCCTAGTGAGCGGGTGGCAAATGGATGCCTGGCGTTTACTGACTTACCTCCTTACCGCAGCCCGCCTCCTTTGAGCTCTTGGGCACCCAGTCAATAGAGGCCCAAAGCATAGTAACCGCCACGGGTAGTTAAAAAAAAAAGGCAGTAAATGGACAGGCAGAGAGGAAAACCAACAAATACTGTCAGTTACGCCATGTCATGTGACACAGTGACAGCAAGTCTTCAGGAGATGGTGGCGGGGAACGTTCCCTCTGAGAGCCCTGAGCACAGCAAGGAGAGGCTTGGCACGAAGATGCTGGGGCTGGGGTCAGTAATGGGTCAACTGAGTCTTAGCCAACTATGTGCAAAAAAACATTTTTCTGTAACAACCCAGGGAGCATGTGACTTACATCTCTCGTACCTTTAGTAAAACCTGCTTAGAACAAAAGGGAAAATCCCAGGAGCATCCAAGTTATTCCAGAGTATATCCACCAGCTGCCTCTCAAAAATGCGCAGTCTGAAGGATTTACAGAGCAAGACACATTAAAAGCTACATATTTCCAGCCAGTGAAAAAAAAAAACAAACCCAAAACCAAAACAAACAACCCACAGTTTAGGTGCCAGGTGATGAGAAGATTCACAAAGGACAAAAAGCAAGAAGGCAGGTTTGTCCAGAAAGGTCACTTTATTGGAAAAACCTAAAATGGACTTGAAACCTGCAGCCCTCCTCCCACAGCAGTGGTTTCAATGGGCTCCCCAAGTTACCTTAACAGACCCATTACAGACATGAGCTGCAGTACAAATGTTAAAAGTGCAAGTATTCTGAACTTCACACCCACTTTTATGACCTGGCAGGAAACACAAATGCTTCACAGCTCACAGAGAATTCGTTCACAGCACTTGGGAGGCAAAACTGTCTCCCTGCATTCCCCACAGGATACAAAATACATCACTCGGAGGAGAGTCTGATGCAGAACATCATAGAAGGTAGGGGTGAGGTTTCTTCAAATTTATTTTATTGCAGTAAAACCTCTAAAAGATAGAGCTGTACAAAAATTCTAAACAGCATTATTTAAGAATAACAGCACCTTACGCTGCATTTGTTCTTATTTAAAATTCTATTTCCCAAAAATACATTCCTAAATATACAAACTATACAATCTTGTCACTTTAATGCTGGTTTCTGTGATGATATAACTTTAACCTAAAAATCTTCAAAACATCCACATACTGACAAAAGCTCTAATATACAAATGCCTTGGTACCTTCATAAAACCACATAAATAACTTCAAAACCTAAACTGCATTTGTAGCATTGTCCGGAAAGCAAATACTTTATGGTGATCACACATCATCCGCAGAGAGCATTGGGATGTTTATCCTCGGCCGTGTGAAAAAAGCCATTTTCTCTCTAAAAAAAGATGATCAGTTGTTAATGCAACAGAATTCTTGCCAGAAATGTCCATCATCCACATTAAAATTTATCCCACCAGCTGTCACCACAAGAAGCAGCAACACATCCTCTCACAACCTACACCTCTTATTTACATATCAGACATGAGGCATCCTTACAGTTAAACTCACAATGCTGACCTTATCAAAAAGCCATTTCAGAAAGGCTCGGGTTTTTGGCTTTCTAGGCACATTACTTAGGGAAACAAAGGGCTGCTTCTGTATTAAACGAAAGATTTGTGAATTTGTTGGCAGGTGGGGAATGATTTGGAGTGCTGCCAGTTGCTTTGAGGTCACATGCAGTGCTGCAGCTAGTTTCCCCGACTCTCAGACCTTATACTTCAATACAAAAACATAGACATTTTTGTTTTAAGCAGAACAGTTAACAACAAAGATAAGCTTTCCTCATCAGCATCTCAGTCACCTGTAGAAAAATCATGGTAGCAGTCAATTTTTCCTTTCCTTTACCAGTGACCTGTACCTACCTGAATGACTGTACTTCCAGAGGTTCCTTCCGACTCTGGCCTCGCAGCCTGTGGACATCCTTGGCAGCAGCTCTCATCATTTTATCAGCTTTGAGCTCACACTTCTGTTCTGTTTTTTCCACCTAAACAAATAATGGAAAAAAGCTGTTTGTGTTTCCAGGAGGAATAATTTTATCTCAACTAACCTCCAAATACAGCAGTATTTCAGCTGCAGTCTGAGGGGCTTGGAAACTTGACTCTGGAATCACAAGCCACAGAAGCTGACCACTGTAACAGAGAGAGCTTTTTTAAGGTCTTCTTCCAGCTCTTTGGTAAGAATTGTAGGTGCTATCTGCAACTTCTTTCTATCTTCTTGATATATTTAAGCCAGCAGATCAGCTCACACAAGAAGGTGGCAACCCATGTTCCAGCTGTGCCCCAAAGAGCACCTCATACCAACTCACTCCTAAACCCAGTGCCCTAACAACTTAGTTTCTGCCTGGTGTCAGCAGAGGTGCTGACACCGATAAATCACAGAAGTTGAGAAGGAGCCCTGTACGCAAGGGAGAGTATGACATAGATAGAGTAAGGTTAGTGCTAACCACATGACACGTTAACCACAGCATGACATACCACAGCTACTATGGATTGGGAGGCTGCACTTCACAAAACAGATGGCATTTGTGACTTCCCATATTTGCCCCTGTGCTGAGGCAGGAAATCTGCACTGGTAAATGCATGGGTTTGGGACTAACAGAACTCTACAAGAAGTTTAAAAGGGGTCAAACTCCAGCAAAAGTGATAATGCTTTCGAAGTTGAAAGACACCTTTCGTAAAAGAAAACAAAATTGTTTAATGAACTGTTTGTTTGAAATTCTTGGTAATTAGTTCTGTCTCCTTTCCATCCCTGCCCTGCAGTCCACCCTCCAAAAGCAGAAAGATAGATACTATTAAGCCCTTAAAGCCAGAAAGTCTGCTACCATCTGACTTGTATTATCATTTCATATGCATAAGGATCCTGTTCTAAAGCCAAGTGTCATCTATGCACAAGTTTTACGCAGCCATTGTTTCTCTTAGAAGAAGCAAGAGACGTAACTGCTATCTTCCTAACCCTCATATCTGTGGGAAGGTAGGCACAGGCTCTGCAGTTTGTAAATACCACACCTGAGAACAGCCAGACACTCATGGACTGCAGCTTCCATTATCAATCGCTTGCTTGATGAGGCCGTAAGTGGAAGACATGAGTGACTGTAGTACTAAGGCTTCATTTCCTGACTGTCCAAAGTACCCTGTTTCTCAAATATCTTGACTAATATCCAAGGGCAGGTATTACTCACTCGTTTTTCCACTAGCCTCAACAGCAGTCGAAATCTCTCATCATCCTTCACCCACTGCGGCAACTCTTTTTCACCCTGACTTTGAGCTTGTTCCAACTGTTCCTTCAGTTCTCTCAGCACCGAGATCTCCTGAACCAGCCGATCATGCCAGGTTTTTGAAGCTTGCAGGTCCAGCTCCAGGTCTAGCGAAGTGCGGATTAGGCGCTCTGTACCAAAGGACTTGATTGAAGGCTAGAAAAGAAGGGGTGTATGAACACAGTGATGAGAACTGTCCCGACCACTCCCCCAGGAAGGGCCAAACACATCATGAGACCCATTTTTCCAGAACTTCTCTCAGCACAAAGCATCTCTATTGATCCTGCTTTCCAATCCATCTCAAGACAGAAAGCACAAACTCATGCAAGTCTTATAGATAAGTTTTTTGATTTTGGCGTTTCCACTAAATTTCTTCCTTGGCAGCTTCTCCAAATCAAACAAGTCTTGCTTGCACACCTTGCTCCTAAGCTTAATGTCTCATCTTCAGATGAATCCACAACACAGCAGAAAACCCTGTGTTTGTTTTTTCTAGTAACATACTATGTTGCCTTCTGCTAGTTTCAAACACAAGCTGCCTCAAAACTATCTCCTTAGGAGCTCAGCATCAGTATCCTGGGGGAATTTCAGTCACTGCCATCACCATGGGCACAGAGGTTCATTGTGTGCCACGGAGTTACTACAACAGGGTCGCCCGAGCATCTAAGACATTCTCCTCACCCTCTTCCCCAGCTCCTCACATTTATTATAAAGTACTTAAGAATCTCACAACAATAAACACAGCAAAACTATCTGTGCTACTTCTGCTCTGACAGGATGGAAAATACCAGGAACCATCTTCCTAAATTGATTGTTCTAAATGAGTTCCAACTTAAACATTCCTGTCATGTTCTGATATATCAAAGAAAAGTAGCCTTGAGAGACTTCTCACACACAAAGAAAAGGTTGTGGATGAAATCAAGTGGCAACTGATTTAGGTTTGTAAATTCTTCCTTTAAAACAGCTTTCAGTTTTTTGCAAGTGTCTACACTAGAGAAAAAAAAATAAGTGGTGATGTTTTTACCCGTTTCACTCTGACACTTCGTCTCTCCATTGCATTTCGAACAAAGGGGGGCTTTTTGGATAGCGTTGAACTGTCACTATCACTGCGATTCAGCTGAAAATGAAAGCAAAACCCACGTATTTTTCATGAAAGAAATCCAAGCAGTGCATACACACATTATTAGCAAGATCAGAGGGTTCTGTACGTGATTATAAGCAGTGATGTAAGCAGAACTATGAAGTTTTGTGAATGGCTACAGCTGACAGCTGCCACCCCAACCCAAGTGCACAACCTGCAATCCATTTGGCACAGCCAGATCCTGCCACAAGCCTTGAACTCTGTCCCTTTTTGGGAATAGGCTGCATGGAAAGAGAGACACTGAGTTAGGGTATAATATGGGACCCTAGCCTACTACCCTTCTCCTGTGCAAGTAACTATGCTGGGCAAAACAGCCTAGAAAAATAAGCTCTAAGTAATAAATAAAAAAAAATTACTCTTTTCTAGCATCTGTAAAACATGGGGCTGTTTTATTAGATATTTCTCTAAAATCATTTTAAGCTAGTGGTACAAGAGGTAGGTTTACCTGTAAGCTATCCCCCTGCGTTTTTTAACATAAGAGTTATGTTACACACATACAGCCTGCCTCCTTTTGTGATTGTCTCTAGACCCTTAAAAGAGCTCAACTCAAGTAGGGTTTAATTCCCGTCTCATTTTCCTTCCCAGAGTTGCAGGGGTGGGGGAACAGGCATGTGTGATCTGCATGTGCTGGGACACAGCACCTCTACCATCCAAGCACAGGCCACTACTGCAAATTAAATAAGGTTTGTTTCTATGGAAGCACCTGCTTCTGAATTGGAGAAAACCTGCACATCAAATCCGGCTCGGCTGTATTAAAAGAATGCCCACTTAGGGCAGGTCATGCGTGATAAAAGCAGTGCTTGCTTGTTTGCCAATTCAATTTAAAAGATGAGTTATTTATAGTTTAGGCTGACCCTCAATCCAGGAAATAATTGTGAGCAAACATTTCAAAGCAGTGGAAGTGACATCCTGACCCTGTATGTGGCCTGTTCAGTTACCTTCAGACAAAGCACACTGAAGACTTTCAAGCTTCCACAATTTTTTTTGCTGACATTATCAGGTACTTACCTTTCTGTTTCTGTCAAGCTTTCATGTTCATCTCATCTACAGTCAGGTAGACATAGCTAACTCGGTTCAAGTTAGCACAGAACAGTCTTAAAGCAACAGCAAAGGGTTTGATATGTAACTTATTCATCACTGTCTTACAGCAGCCCTTCCAGGTTAGTTTGGGCATCTCAACATGCTGCATGTACCACAAACATACGTGCACGTATATATTTTAAAAATTTGTGCTTAAGATACTATTAGTTCCAAGGAAAGATACTGTCTAGAAGGTGAGGACAGAGCAACTTCTGAAGTCAGAGGGGAAGAGAAGAAAGCAGTGTCAGGTCTCTGTGAAAAATTGAGACTAAGTGAACAGTGATGTCGTGCATTCATTAATGAAAAACAGGATTTATAACCTCAGGATTGCATTTTCCTTACCCGACACACATACTGACTTTGTGGTCCTGGTGAAAATGTTTTTGAGCGAATGATAGTGCTACCTCTGACAAACTGCGTTTGGGGTGGATTCGCTGCTCTTTTGTCTTTCGGACGAACTACGGTAGAAGACTGCGCAAGGCTCTCTGTGTTTGTTTCTTTATCCACCTGAAAGACAAGATATTGCAGTGTAAATGCCAGCTTGCCATCTTACCGATGACACATACCCAGGGCTGTCTGACAGGCACCTGTGATACATCATTCCCAGAGGCATCACATTCAAAACCAGATATTCTTTAGCCCTTTTCATGCAGGGTGTCCTGACACTTCACTCTGAACTCAGTAGCTGCTACATTAACTGTATCTCTCCCTAAGGGCTTCATATCCATTGATCGCTGTACAACACAATTGATTCCAACAAGCTTTGCCTGTTGATCCAGTACATCAATTTGACCGGCAATCTCACACAGAACAGAGCTATGATTTTAAAGACATTCCCTTACTTGTGCATCTGCAGAAAAGACCCAATTGCTGTATGTACATGCACAGAGAGCACATGTATAGCACATCTTTGTTAAGACTACAACTACATTATGAATTAAACAAGGTCAAAGCCACAGTCACATTAATGAAAACAGTTTTCATAAGCAGCAAAAAGAAGGCATGAAACTACACTATATTAACTGTGGGACAAAATGTAGAGTTATTTAAAAATATTTCAGGTAGATAAACATTTAAACATCAATTATGAACTTTCAAATAACTGCTGTAGCCTTGCCCAGCTCAACAGCAACCCAATCAGCTGAGCAATGGGAAGCTTAACTCATTTTTCTGTTCAAAAGGCCCTTTACTTTACCTTCACTGCTATTTCCATGTGCAGCTGGGAATTCAGACTTTCTTCTGTTTCCCACAGCGATTTTCCAGCACAGAATTCTTCCTCCTCCTCTGCTTCATTTTCACTGATCTCATCATGTTCTTCCTGATCAGGAACGTCTTCGTCTTGCCTGTTAAGAACAGCTTTGTTATTGAACTGGCCTATTGTGCACAATACTCTGGTGTTGCAGCAGGAGTTACCTCCTGTAAGCTGCTGGACAGAAACCCGTCCCCAAGCCAGCCAGTTGTACCTGGCAGGCCCTGTAGCCACTGAGATTACGAAAACACAGGCTTATAAAGGAATAATTGAAACTGGAGTGAAACTGCACCAGAAGGCAACCATTACAGCCAAAAACTTCATACTGATCTTGCTTCAAAAGAAGCAAGCTGAGGGTTCAGCCATGTGGTCTGAGCTTAAGGTGAACGCATCTTAAGGGGAGCTCTCAGGACGCCATTAATCTTAGTTTAGTGTGATGCTGGACAAAACTGAAGCACTCTTAACATCCTTTCCAGCCCCTTTGAACTCACAGCTGGCTTCTCCATCAAACCCATTGGACAGGCTTGCTTTTTATTTCAAATGTTGGGCTTCATTAATAAAATCTGAATCTGAACCATGTAAACAACAGCCAAAATTAATATACAAGCAAAGCCTTGCACCATACAGTGGAGCTTTCATGGACAACCATAGAACATTGTACAAATAACAAAATTAGCACAGTGCTACTGACTATTTTAAACATTTATCAGCTTTGTTCTCATTTCCCAAGCACAACCTCCAGAACAGAAGAAACAGGATTTTTCACCAAAACAGAAAGAGACAGAAGCAGCCTCCCACAGCTCTGTATCATCTGCTTCTTCCTCTGCACATGAACCCCCCAAATGCTCTGATCATCCCACAATGCTAAGATGGTGGGATGCTACCTACCAGCTCTCTCCACTAGTTAAAGTGCTTCTGCTTTCCTCCAGTTTCTTCTCCACAGCTTCCAGTTCAACAGCTGTCTGCTCTAAGAGTGCTGAGACAGAGTCCTGAGGAGAGTAAGAGGCTTCTTGTGAAGATATGACCCTCGTGAACTGTAAAAGCGCCCAGCCTTTCTGGTCAGAACCACCCCAACCAGCTCTCCTCTGGTGGCAGGAGAGAGTTGTAGTCTCTACACCCGTGTTGTTCAAGCAGCCTATTGCACATACAGTGCTCGGTCAAGCCTGTGTGAGCATACCTGGCCTACCCCCCGCTGGCCAGTTACACTAGCATATGCACGTGTGCAGCTATAGGACGAGCATATTGCATGCCATGCATGTGCAAAGGTACATCTGTATCTTGACTCATTCAGCAAGTCCATTGCAACAAGGTGAACTGTCTAGTGGGAAGAAAGGCAAGAGCTCACACATCACTTACACCAGACCACATACCACATCCCTCAGCTTCGTGAGGAGTAGATTTCGGTAAGTATTTAGCCCAGGACAAGGGCGTATCTGTAATCAACATGTGAATTATTTTGCTGCACTTAATGACATTTTCAAGTTCTAAATATAAACGCACCAGCCTTCACTTCTCGTCTGTTGTAACAGTCCTTCAGCCACATAAACCCTCTCATTGGTACTGTTTAGAAGAAATTTGTTTGATTTAAGCAGTTGTTCTTACTGTTTTTTCAGTGCAGGGTACTTCAGAGTGAATGTTTCCTTGTTTACTTTTCCTGTTTTGCTTCTGCAGATACTTATAACTAAGGAGGTTATACCAACGGGTTGATTTCTCTCCGGATCTACATATTTCAGCGAGGCTAATTTGTGCTCCACCCTATTGAGAGCAAAACCAGTTTTAGCATAATACTAAAATGAACCACTACCACACCAGTAATAAATGAGAGCGAAAATCCAGGACTACTTGACTTTGGCAAGTTTGACAAAAAGAGAATTTGCCCTGTTTATTCCCATTTCAACAGCACTAGTAATGCTTCATGTTTAATAATTTTTAATATTGTCTAGGACTTCCAATCCAGCTAGCAAGTGCTTCACTACAGCTCCTGTGTACAAGAATCCAGAAGTATGAACAGTGCTACTGCAGACAGGATAAATTACAGCTAAAGCTTCAAACAAAACTAAGTTTGAAAGAAAAGCTTCAAAGCCCTCAGTAAGTTTGCAGATGACACCAGGTTGGGCAGGAGT